CAAACACCAAGCGGTCACCGGTGACCGCGACCTATTGTTCTTTAATTGTGTCTATAAAACCGGTACTCGACGAGTTAAAACGTTAATGTTAACATAATTATACAGATTTATGATTAACATAATACTACTTTGCGACTATTAATATATACAACTTAAAATATAAAAAAATAATTTAAAACTAAAATATTTACACCTTAAAAAAATAATACGCTATGTTAACTGCATAAGCAATAACATAATTTAAAGCAATTGTCGTATCTCTTTACATTTATGCTAAAACCATACCCACATTCTAACGACAAAAAACCTTGATTAAAAACCAGGACTCCCAAAAATTATGAACGCACTCAGTGGATCCTTCCAAATTATGAACGAAACCGATTTGCTAAACAGTACATATGTTATGTTACCCTAAATTGATGCGAAAACTCTGGGAGGAGGGTTTTTAGGGATCCTCACGCCCCTAAACCCGCTATTACTTACCGGATACCGCAATATGTATAAAAACCAAAACAAGGAACGTACGGATCGTATATCCATTCTGTTGGCTTTATATGGGTTGTTTACTTTTTGCGACTGTATACCAACTGGATAAGTATAAAATAGTGCTTTTGTACGTAATTTTCTTAATTACTTAGGAGACCTCAAAGTTTACTTAATGAATACTCGAATTAGCTTTGACCATTTTGAAGATGAGACAGATCCAAATATTCTCAAAAAACTATTTCAATAAACTGCTAAGTCATTTCCCAAAGAGAGAACCTATATTTAACACACGTACTAGTATACATTTCATGCCAAATTGATTTTTCTTTTACTATATAAGGAAAGGATTACCGTATTGAACCGCAAATCAGAAATTCCACTCACGAACCACGCAACAGGCAGACTTTACTCCAGCAAATTGACTTCAAACTCCAGTTCATACAAAATCAACCAACAAAGCAGCTATCTTTAAACAATAACAAATACTCCTGATTGATGACTAGACAAGTTTCTTTCATAAAGTGAATCTCTTGTACCGGTTATTTATTTATTTATTTATATATACTTTATTGCACACACAGAAAAAAAAATTGTAAACATTGCAACAGTAATTAAAGTACAATGGGCGGTCTTATCACACGCGGCGATTTCTTCCAGACAACCTTTGGATGGAATTTTAGAAAAGAATCTGGGAATGGGTGGTAGATGCACAATAAAAATAAATCAAAATAGAAGGAAAGCAATAAAAAAAAAAAAACAAATTAAACAATCAATGAAACTTACAGACTACATATAATACATAAAAGATAAAAATGGCAATACTATTTAATAAATATATACTTAAATGTAAAATGATAACTATATATAGTTGCGTGTATGTGTGTGTGTGTGTGTGTGGTGTGTGTGTGTGTGTGTGTGTATATGTGATGTGTTTATCCATAATGAAAGGACAAAAGCATAACTACAGTGACAGGTAGTGTTCCTTCACACGTCCTTTAAACTGACCCAGAGTTTGAGCACGTCGCACTTCCACCGGCAGCGCATTCCACAACCGAGCCGCTTGAATTGTGAAGGACTTGTCATAAAAGCAAGTGGAGTGCTTACAAATGCTGAGCTTAGATTTTCCGATGATCTCAGGAACTTCGAATGTGTGACACCCAGGAACTGAAAACGTTCCTTTAAATAGAAAGGGGCAGCAGGATTAAAAAGTACATTAAATAGTAACGAAAGGATATGAACGTTCCGGCGAAGGCGGATAGGCAGCCATTTGAGCTTACTACGAAATTCAGAAACATGATCATACTTGCGCAAACCAAATATAAATCTGATAGAAAGGTTTTGAAGGCGCTCAAGCTTATCCAATTGTTCTTGGGTGAGATCTAGATAGCTGACATCAGCATAGTCGAGTATTGGTAGAAGAAGAGACTGTGCAAGTGCAATTTTGGTTTTAGTGGGTAAGAAATTACGAAGACGCCTTAAGGAGCCCGCTGAAGCAAACAACTTTCGACTGACCACCTGCAATTGTTTATTCCAGGAGAGGTTACTGTCGATGTAAATCCCCAGGTTCTTAACATCGCGGGAGAAAGGAATTTTCGTATTTAGAAAAGAAACTTGGGGAAGACTTGTCCAATTCATTTTGGAGACGATACGCGCACTACCGATGATAGTCACCTGCGTTTTTGATGGATTTACCAGCAAACCAAATTTGGAACTCCAATCACCTATTCGTGCCATATCGTTGTTAATTAATGTAATGGCGCCTGGTAAATCTTCAAGAGAGGCCTGGGTGTAGATCTGAAGATCATCTGCGTAAAGGTGGTAGGAAGAAGATAGACCTTGAGAAATAGAATTAATGAATAATGTGAAGAGAAGAGGAGATAAAACGCCACCCTGAGGTACGCCGGCAGCAGTGGAACACCATGAAGACCTAGAATCCTCAAGGTAAACACGCTGACGGCGGCCGAACAGGTAACTATGAAACCAGTCAATTACCGACGGGGACATGCCAAAGGAGCTGAGCACGCCAAGCAGTAAGTCAAAGTCAACGGTGTTAAAAGCGTTACTGAAATCTAGGAGTACAAGGACCGTTAACTTTCCTGACTCCATGCCTGATCGGATGTCGTCTGTGATATTAACAAGAGCCGTTGTAGTACTGTGCCCTGGCCGAAACCCAGATTGGAAGGGACTTAAGAGGCTATGCTGGGATAGGAACCTGCTGATTTGTTGGTGGACCAGCTTCTCTAGGATTTTGGATAAAAATGGGAGGATGGATATGGGACGAAAATCGGTAAAGGAAGTGGGATTGGATTTTTTGGGTAGCGGGATTATGTGAGCATCTTTCCAACTTTGGGGGAAAGTTCTGTCGGTGATTGAAGAGTTAAGGACGAAAAGAATTATAGGAATAATTTCATCAAGGATAGGGATAAGCATTTTACGGCTAACGCAGTCACTACCAACGGCATTGGAAGTAGACGACAAGATGCTCCTTCTAACATCCCCCTCGGCAAACTGACTGAAGTCAAAGAGAGATATAACAGGTAACGGCAGGAGAGAAAGAGAATTTAAAGTAGAAGCTTTGGTTGCCCTATCCAGTACAGGCGAAGAAGAGAAATGACAGTTAAGAGAGTTATAGTTAAGATATCTGAATTATTTGAGCAGATTTGCCTATACCCAATGATCTAAGAAACTTCCAGACCTTAGCCGGATCACTATTTTCAAGTGATTTATGGATGTGTTGGCGTTTTGCATTTCTACACACCTTGTTGCAGTGGTTCCTGATCGCAATGTATTTGTTTTTATTAACGTCGTTTGGCCGGACTTTGAACTTGAACCTCGCAGCTGCTTTCCGAGCAATAAGGTTTTTAATTTCATCACTAAGCCAAGGTGCTGGAAGGTGTTTGACTCTAACGGCCCGGATCGGAGCGTGTTTGTCATACAGTTGGATAATGTTGGTGGTCAAAATCTCAACCCGTTCATCAACCGACACAGATTGAAACAAAGGTGTCCAATCAATATTACCAGCATCCTCCCGCAGGCGATCTACATTCATACCCTCAAAATTACGAAGAAAAAGAGTTTTCGAAGTATGCTTAGGGGGTCGAATCTTATAAGAGGCATAAATTAAGTCATGGTAAGAAAAATGATCAGCTGAACACTGTCCATGTTTAGCTATGTGATTGGGAGAAGAAACTAAAATTAAATCAAGAAGAGAGGGAATAGAGTTAGGGCAATGGTGAGTAGCATTTAGATTCAGTAAAGAGAGATTAGCTGATTCAATGACTTGAGTAAGAGAGGTAGAACGGGAGTCATTTTTTAAAATGCAGGTGTTAAAGTCTCCCATTAATATGGTGTGGTCGTACAAAGGAACAAATGATTCCAAAAGGTGCTCGAAAGAAGAAAAGAAATTTATACGGAGAGAGGGACAGTAGAAAACCCCAAGAAGAATCTTAGAGTGATGAAGTTCAACTTCCAGGAAAAGATGTTCACCACCGTTTGGAGGAGGTGGCTGCGCCGACACACTAACAATAGTAAAGGGTATCTGATTACGAAGGTATATGGCCACGCCGCCACCACCCCCCACTGCCCGGTCGTTCCTGATAAGATTGAAACCTGGAAGAGCATAGGATGAAGAGGGGAGGCAAGGTTTCAACCATGACTCTGAAACAAGAATAGCATGGACATCTTTGCAGTTGAAAACTGTCAGCATATCAATGAAATGAGCCGGAATACTCTGAGCATTTATGTGGATCACATTAAAGTTCCGAGAAACATCCGAAAAAATGGATACTAGTGTGTCAGATAAAGGAGGCACACCATTAAATGTACTGTCTTCGTCTGAAGATAAAGATAAAAACACATCAGAGTCACTGTTGTAACTCGTGTTTGGCATGAGTTGTGTACATGTATGTATATGTGTAAGGTAAATAAATAATATGTATAGATAAATAAGTTAATAATATAGACAATATAATATTAATAAATCAACAATAAATGAATATATAAAAATAAAGTTACTATACTATCAAGTGGATAATATTCATCCATCTGCCAGTTGACCTATCATAGAAATTTATAACAGCAACCAGTAGATTAAAAATACAAAAACAAGGAAGAAAAAAACGCTAATTAAATTGTATGGTAGTCCAGGTGACAAAATAAAATATTTATATAAAAGGAATAAAACAAGAACAAAACATTAACAACAACAGAGCACAACGTGTAACGAAACGTATCATTGACATCAAAATGTTGGTTGACATCATGTTGACATTGACAAAACCAACTTGACAAGTTGACACAATTTTTAATTTGTTAAGGTTTTGAGTGAATGATACGATCGTAAAAATCTACTGCTACCGCAATTTACTTGTGTTGTAATAAAAACAAAGTGACGGTGAAATCAGACTACGGTTGAACAATATCAAAATAAATTTACCTACTCACCTGGACCAGCAGTGAAATAACTCTACAACAATTCGAAAAGATGCTAAATTGTTAACACCGAAAGTACTTAATTATTTCCGCGTAACACGCTTCGACATCTTTGGCTTCGGTGCTATCTCCTTGGCTCCCGCTGCATTTCCAGGCTGCGCAACCCTCTGCTCAGGATGACCAGATGCACTTCGCGCGGCGTCAGACGGGAGGCCAATCTTATCGAGATCATCCAAGGAAGATACTCGATGCCGAGACCCCTGCCCATCGAGGATATAAATATCTCCTTCCTTTGTCCAACACTGGTTCACGCCGAATTTATCCCGAGCGGCCATAAAAACATTATGTCGGGGTTTGGTCAGGAATTCCGAAATTGTTAAACCGGAACCCTTTAACCCAGCCTTACCGAACCAGATGCTATCTCGAAGAGTCACATCATGGAGCTTGAAAATTATTGGTCTGGGCTTCTGCATTGCACGACCCATCCTGTGGCACCGCTTAATATCTGGCAACTTCAAATCAAGCTTCAGATGCTCTTTAGCTACCTGGACCACCACCTTTGCTGTTACCTCTTCTTTAGCTTCGGGTACCCCATGCAAGAGCAATATTTTGCGCCTTTTGCGCATTTCCACGGTATCATTGCTTTGAACCAGGAAATTGACCTGCTGTTGAAGCATAGTGAGTGACTGCATGACGAATGATCGAAAAGCAGCAAACTCTAGGCTTAAACCTTGGGTGGTATCGAGTGTGCTTGGGTTTTTTCTCTGCTCCTCCTCGAATGCAGTCATTCGAGCATACATGCTCTTGCTTAAATCAGAGACTGACTTAGTGAGTGCTTCCATACTATCAGTGAATCCACTATGTGGTTGCAGAAATTAGTAAGAACTAAACTGGCAGAAGTAACTATTTAATAATTTAAAGTTATCATTAAAGTTATAATAATAATAAATATGAATTAATAATTTAAAATATTTTTTAAATGCACTAGCGTAATTGAAGTGTTTACTAGGCAACTACCCGCGAACCATCATCGTTCGCTTTTAATCCTTAAACAACGTCTTCTACAAATTATGGATCGTTCATCTCAAGTTTAAGATATAGCGGCCATTTAACTTGGCTCTTTAAAAGATGGATGGCAATCTGTTTTCTTTTCAGATAGCCTTAATGGAATTGGGTTTTATTTAAAGTTTACCATTGTCTCGGAATCAGTTTTAATATCTTGTCCTAATTTATTGTTATCGTCCTGTCTCAATTTGAATTTTGTTTGAGTGCTTGTTATTAGTTTGGTACAAGTACTATTCTAGATCAATCAATCTAAATTGTAAGAAATCTTTTTTAGTCTTCTTTACTGCCTATAAACTAAACTAAATTCACAAAAATTTCAGCGTGTTTCCTTTTTGGCTTTGTCGTTCTTGCTCTTAACTTTATCTTTTCTACAAATGTAATCAAAACTATACTCATTAGCATACTCACCTCTAATTTTGACATTCTTCTCTTCCAGCTCCACATAGACTCCAAGCACCCACCATGCTTGTTCCAAGCATTATGCACATGTTCGAAACCAGCTGGCGACTTGGGCATCGTGAACTGCAACCACGTCCCAATCTTGAAGGTGCCAGCAACGATCAACAGTTCCAAGGTCTTTATGCTGCAGTTGACTGCAAATCAGATCAGGGATCTAGAACCACAGTTCTTCCAAGCAACAGGTTAGTTCTGATCTTGATAAAGATAGTTTTAATTCTTTATTGTTATTTTGTGGTTTAAATTATGTAAAAAATTTTCTTTAAAGTCGTAGAAAAGTCTTCAAAAATTGCTAGATTTTCTATCATTATCTCAAAGTATGAGAGTAGTACAAATAAAATTTTATGGAACAATATAACTAAGGATCAAAGATCTAAAATTACTTTTACAATCTTAAAGAGCAAACAATAGCTTTACTTGAAAGGATAACAATGTTCTTACAAGTTGTACATATTATAATAGGCTAACAATATGAAACATAGTTGAACTTTTAACGTTGAACTGCGTTGAACTATGGAATAAAATTGCTTTAGTAACCTTTATTCTTTTTCCTTCTAAATTATGTATTGTAACCGAATTGGGAAATACGACCAATGCTCTGGATACGCAGTGATAGTTCAAAGTTAAAGGTTTTGAACTACTTTCAATTACTAAAGGTTTTTGGTCGAGAAGAACATTGACCGCAAACATAATTAGAGTTGAATTTGGAGAAGGTTACATTTAGCCATCAACCTTTGATATTACGGATGTTTCAAAGCTAATTCATTTATACCTTCCCTTTTCTTTGCCGCAGCCATAAAGAAATTAACTAAAACTGCAAAATCATAAGATCACAACGAAACATGTACATTTGATATTACAGACATAAATTCTGTTGTCTGACTGAGTAAGCGCTGCTTGCGACTGACACAGTAAATATAATAAGGGAAGGTCTGTCGTCTAATCCTCCACTCAGCGTTTCATACTAGTAAATAAGTAAACCCGTTGAATGTGTCACGTTGAGCCTGATACGCTTAAATCTGCCTATTGTGATGAGCAAAAGTAAGCAGCGAAAGTAAGCAGATTTTGACTTGTATAATGAAGTCTTTAAAGTTGACAATTTTAGTTAATAACGATGTGATGTTTGCTTTAACAAGATAAATGAGAGATTCTATAGATGAGAGAGATTTTATTTTAAATTGCTCAATGGTTCTACCTTTGGTTATAAAAAAAAAACTAATTTTAACCGTAGATTACTGTGGCAGTCGTTTTTTATTAATTGCTCACATACACGTTAAGACTCGTAGTCCTCCCAACTTAGTCGGAAAAAGTCAAAAAAACAATTAGTTATGCATATATCCATTTGTTCATATTATTCATATAAATTCAAAATCCGATTTGAAATTACCTTCAAAAGGTAGAAGCAGCAATAATTAACAAAATATCCTTTGAAGCTCACGTAAAGACTTAATTAACACGCCCAAATATCTTTAGCTAGTATCGAAGCCCATTATTCTCACATAATCTTACATAGCCGATTAATTCCAGGCTTGTACCGGCTTGCAATTAACGAGAACCCGCTGGAGAATATCCATGAAGAAGCGTTCTATGGCCTCGACAATACACTTTGGGAATTGGAACTACGATACGACAAATTGACGTCTGTACCCAGCAGAGCCCTGAGATACTTGCAGAAACTGAGGCTACTGGATCTGACAGGTGATTTATGTTTAGAGTTTTCACTCCAATTTAAGTTTTAGTGCAAATTTTGAACTACAACTGGCGATGTTGGATAAAAATTTCAATGAACAAATTGCTGTTCAAGAATTGGAAGTGCATGGTTATTTTACACGGCTTACTGTTAGGTGAAAAATTTGAATGAAAAATCATCGCATTGAATTCGGCAAATGTGTTTAATATTTCGTGTATTGAAGTAGGTAATACGTGGAGAAGATTTATTCGAAATGAAATGAGTAAAATTGAATCACTTAGAAAGAGATTCAAGAAAGCTTTTTATAGGATTACCCTCTGAAGTAGACACGTGATTTATTATTAAGTACTTAACCTTCGTATGAGTTCAAAGACCTATGGTATATTCTTATCGTTATTGTAATGATTCTAAATTCAATTCAACGAAACCTATCGGTTTATGATAATGGGGTGTATGAACTGGTTCTTTTATTCGCTGCTTAACCGTTCTTTTTTAAAAACTTTCATTCGATTTTGTATCAAAAAATTCGAGTACTCTTAATCATTTCGAATAATCATTAGTAGATTTTACAGTTTAATAAAATTGTAGGTACGATGACCCCATCGTACCTACAATTTCGTATTTAGATGTTAGCTTTGCCGTGGTACACTCAAAAACTTTTTTATTCCTCAACAAGGCTAATTAGGCCTGTTTCACGTTTTCAGGAAACGAGATAACAGACATATCCGGAGACAACTGGCGAGGGTTGGAACACACATTAACGACTTTGATACTGGCTGAGAATTCGATAGCGAACCTCCCTCTGGACGCTTTTTCCAGTCTACCGTTACTGGAAACTCTGGACCTTCACGGAAACCATCTGTCTGTTATCGATAGTGGCGTGTTTCGAGATGGGATGAGCAGATTGAATAGGGTAAGTCACCAGTAATTTAGTTTAAATATAACCAGAGAGATGGTTAAGAATATTTTTCATAGCGGGAAAGGGACTAGTATTTAGTTTAGTTTTGTTGCTTCTGACTGATTTCGTTATAATTTAATTACAAAACTGATCTAGTTATGATAACATTCCGTTCATTTCTTACAGGTGGTCTTAGATAATAACTGAGAGAAAATAGAGTATTTTAGTATATTTGAAAATCAATAACACAGCTTTTTATTACCTTTCAAGATTCCTTATTTCATTTTTTTTTTGTTTCTGAAGAAGTTTCGTAATTTTCCTTTTTTTTATTGCCATACTCACATATGCTTGGGGGTTCTTAAAGACTTCATAATTCTTTATTTCAGTTGCTTCTTGGTGACAATCAACTGGCTTACATACCTTACGAAGAGTTGGCGCCGTTGCGTCAGTTGAGATTCCTGGATCTTTCAAATAATCTGATCAAACAAGTTCCACCTGCACATGATCTGAATGGAATCAAATTGTCCCTGGACTCTTTGAAGTAAGTTGTAGCATTTTGGTTTTACTTGACTGACTTGATATCAAAGAAACGTAATTGGTAACTACCATTGTGTTAACAATTTTAGGATTTTAATTTTTCATCAGCATAAATTACATCAATATGTTCATTTCCTTGAATTAAAGACCTATGTGTGTATTATTTATCTTTCACCATTTCCAGGTTGGACAACAACCTCATCAAGATATTGTACCCTGGATCCTTCCAGTACTTCAACATTTTGAACTCAACTTCTTTGGACGGCAACGCGATTTATGCTTTGAGAGTAAGTTCATATCTGAATTAATTTTTAATTATGTTTTTTTGAAATCTATAACAAATAACGAGGTATCCTATCTCACACTGCCTGCTGTCCCCTGCCGACTGCCTCGTTTTGGCCGAGTGGTTGCAAGTGCGACTGCCGGGCAAGGGGTCTCGGGTTCGATTCCTGGGTCGGGCAAAGTGCTACTGGGTATTTAAAAAAATCTCAGTAGTAGCACGGAGTCTGGAATTGCCAATTGCGCCCGGTGTATGGCAATAGGTTCACCCCCTATTACATGGGACTCAAACATAAATAGTGAAAAGTGGGTGTTACATAGTACAATAGTATAATGTACACCTCTGCCTACCCCTTCGGGGATAAAAGGCGTGATGTTATGTTATGTTATAATGTTATCTCACACTCACAATGCAATCACACAAATACCTCTATAATGTCATTTACCTATGAAAACTTAAGCTAGCTATACTTTTATGAACTCTAGGAATATTCCAAGAAACATCACCCAATAAAACGAAGACATTAACAGAAAACGTGTACGCTCCACATAAAACTGTACTAAAGTATACGCCTTAAAACGTGAAGAGGTTCGTGATCGTAAAAATATTCGCTCCTTGTTTTATTGTATCATTGATCTTCTGGTTAGCTTCAAAGGGCAGGAGTGTGTCATAAAATTGTATATTTCTTAGCATAAAATATTTGGGTTTGACAAAATAACACGTGTAATCAACTTATAGGATTGGAGACTAGAAATAAGAAAGATGAAAAGAAAGAAAAACACATTTATTTGGCAATTAGCACACAAAACAAAGATAAAAAACAAATAATAATAATACGATAATAACAGAGTTTTGAATATACAAAAAAAAAACAAAATAATAATATTAATTTGCGCATGCTCATGCCAAAAGGGCCTCCACCTCAGCATATACATAATTGAGCGTTCCTGCCCAACGCTGGTCTTCAGGCACCCTGCACTATACGTTTGGTACGGTGGCTAGGCAACCACCTGCCGCGCAATGGGTAGCGGGCTTAATTCCCAGACGGAGCAACTATTTGTGTGATCCAAAAATTGTTGTTTCGAGTCTGGGTGTCATGTTTACGTGAAATTGTATGTTAGTACTCTCAATACAGGAGAAAACTTTAGTATAGTGCAACGCTTCCTTTAAAAAAAAGTTTTTTTGGAAGTCAAATCAAATCACTTTTATTTGTTAACATAAGTGCATACAAATACAGGTCTTATAAATGATAATAAAATAGAGCGCTATGCTATGCTCGGTGGCGTACAAATTGTGGTGAGAATAATCCGCATTTCATTCTAATGATGATGATGAGCATCAAGACCTGCAATTCAGTATTCATCCCCCTTTGAAAATATAAAGTCTATATAAGTATATTATGACTGCCTCGTCGGCCGAGTGGTCGCAACTGCCACTTCCGGGCAAGGGGTCTCGGGTTCGATTCCCGGGTCGGGCAAAGTATTACTGGGTTATTAAAAAAATTCAGTAGTAGCACGGAATCTGGAATTGTGCCCGGTATATGGCAATAGGCTCACCCCCTATTACATGGGACTCATAACATAACGTAAGTGAAAAGTGAGTGTTACTTCTGTGTGCACCCCTTCGGGGATAAAAGGAGTGATGTTATGTTATGTAAGTATATTATTATTTGTTCTTAACTACACACTCTTCATCCTTACGTTTTTTTTACAGGAAGACGCCTTCAGAAATGCAAAGATCAAAACCCTTTCGCTTCGGGACTGCAGTCTTGCGGAATTGTCTCCAGCTGCCTTCGCTGGTCTGGAGAACAGTCTTCAAAGCCTCGACCTCTCGGAGAACAATCTCACCATGATCTCCAAGTTTATGCTGAACAAGCTGGACTCTTTGAGGTTCTTGAATCTGAGGGAAAATAAGGTCAGTACCAATGTTTCTTGGTGGTGTGTTGATATTTTCTAATAGTTACTGTTTTTTTTCTTTGAGAGATATATAAGGAGAACATAACAGGTAACCGGGGCTCCGGCTCGACGTGCAGGAGAAGGAACGGAGTGGTTTTTTTGTCAGTAAGAGTCTGACACTCCCTCACACCTCACCCAGGCGGGAGCAGTATTCGATGATTTTCCCCCCTTAAAAAAAATACATAAGGATCCCGTAGCATTGCAGACCAGATTGAGCTCTGCAATTAGATTTTCTCCGTATTCTGTAAAAATAAGTAATAACATTATTATTATTATGCTTTGATTTTTATTTCAGTGATACATTAACTACTTAACGTTACACAAACTTTGACACTTTCATCTTTTTCTTTTTTTTCGCGCGTATCTTTTATGTATGAGTTAGTGTAATATTTTTTATAACATCGTTTTTAAAAATAAATACCATTTTAAAGATGATATTTGATTATTTCCAGGTTGACATTAATCTCCTCACATCGACACCGACATCAGACTACGCGATGCAGTCGTTCAATAATTTCCAATACAAATTGTTTTACCTGGACATCAGCAGCGCTAGCTCCATTGAAATGAACTTACAGGATTTTAGGAGGTAACTATAGTTATTTTAAACTTACATCAAACAATATCAAATGTAACATGTAAATAATGTAACACCCACTTTTCACTATTTATGTTACGAGTCCCATGTAATCGTGGGTAAGCCTATTGCCATATACCGGTCACGATTCCAAACATCGTGCATTTGTTTGGTTTCGCACTACTCAGAATTTATTTTAAAAACCCAGTAACATTTTGCCCGACCTGGGTATCGAACCCGAGACCCTTTGCCCGGCAGTCGCACTTGCGACCACACGGCCAACGATGCAGTATTGCAATTTACATTTATCATCTCTCTATGAATAAAATATCAGTTTAACATTAGTGTTCATCAGCGTCATATAAGACAAAAATTAAGAATATTATATACATAGTTTCTAGATATTTTTATACCAATTAAGTGGGACAATCTGTTCCAATAGGTCACAAGGATTCACAAGGATTCTCCATAAGCTATAAAACAACATATTTGTTACCTACATTTTTGGCAAATAAATTATTTCTGATTTCTGATTTCTAATATCTAAAATATTCCTCTTCTGATTTTCAGAATGAGGTCCCTACGCTACTTATCATTAAGCAAACTGCTTAGACAAAGCATTAGGGCGGAGGATTTCCTAGAATTTGGTGTCGAACTAGAAGACCTGAAGATATATGGCAGCACCGTGACGAGAATAGAATCCAGTGCATTCCAACACGTCAGGACTATTAAAACTCTGGACTTGTCGGAAAACAATATCGAGTTCATTGACCCGTTTGCATTTGCCGAGGTTAGTAATCGAAATATTTTAATTAATAATTAGATTTTTATGGCATAAGCCGGTAAACCAGCAGAAGGATCAGCTAATGAAATAGCAATAGCAATCGGCGTCGCTCATGGACTCCTGGAATATAAGAGGCGTTACCAGCTTTTTACGTGTTAAGAATTGTTGGGAGGAAGGAAGAAGGATTGTTGGGGATTCAGAGATAGCGGAGATTGGGGAAGGTGGTAGGGGGGTAATCTCACGCATACGTCGAAACACAACGCAAGCGTTGTTTCACGTCAGTTTTCTTTGAGGCCAAAGTATCACTCCGGTCGAGACGGCCGAAGCATGGCTCCCCACACCACAAATATATAATTATATAACCTTCAAAGTTTAATTTTCAATCAGTTTTCGGTGTAGTGATTAATAAGAGTTTTCTTTATGAATGTGTGTGTGTGTGTGATGAGTTTGGAAACCACTTATACAATTGTACCTAGCGCAAAAGCAGCATTTAAACAATGACTATCAATAAATACCTATGCAAGACTGACTTAAGACATGACTTAAGAACTGCTTGAGTGTTTAAATTACAAAACGAATTTTGTAGTAGAATATTAAATGAGGTACCCTAGTGTAAAAAAAATTAAAATAAAATAAACTAATTATTTGTAAATTTTTCCAGCTCCACAGTCTAACAACACTGAAAATGGCGAATGGTCTAGCAGACTCAGTGAAACTGTTACCGTTCGAGCCTCTAAAGGCTCTCATAGAACTACAGTACTTGGATCTAAGTAATAACAAGCTCAAGAATGTACCAGACACATCGTTCCACTTCCTATACAAACTGAAGCGTTTAAATTTACAAGATAACTATATCGAACATTTTTCCAAAGGGACAGTGCAGGTTAGTTTTGGAAAATAATAAACAATTTATTTATTTATTTATAACCTACTAGCTTTTACCCGCGGCTTCGCTCGCGTCACAAAAGGATAAAAAGTAGCCCATGTGACATATACCAATACACACAGCGCCATCTATACCAATACTTTTGTTTTACCTCGGGAATATCAAATTTTTCCGGGTTAAAAAGTACCCTATTATTTAATCTGGACTTCTAACTTTACGTCTGCAAAAATTCAAAGCAATCGGTTTAGTAGTTACGGCGTGAAGGTGGAACAAACAAACAAACTCACTTTCCCATTTATAATATTAATAAGGATGTACATACGTACTATCATAACAGGAACTAATACCTAATGCAATAATGTATGCCAATATTTATAGAATTAAATTACAAAGTGTATTTTACAATTAGGTACTACAACATTCATCATTATGGTAACAAACATATTCCTCAAAGTAAGACAACTTAGAAATACTACAGCCTGCCTTGTTGGCCGAGTGATCGCAATTGCGACTGCCGGAGCTAGAGGTTTTCTATTCCCGGGTCGGGCGAAGTATTACTGGGTTTTTAAAAAAAACTCAGTAGTAGCACGGAGCTTGGAATTGTGCCCGTTATATGGCAATAGGCTCACCCCCTATTACATGGGATTCATAACATAAATAGTAAAAAGTGGGTGTTACATTGTACAGTGGCATTAAGTGGCGTAATGTGCACCCACTGCTTTGCAAGACGTGATGTTATGTTATGTATTGTTTTTATAATAACTATCGTGAGACATTAAATTAACTAAAAATCGCTGGTTACGCTAGCCAGTAGGCTGTGCGACATCGCTGCAACTCATGAGAAAGAACTCCTCTGTGTTTCGAAACTAATAGAGCAATTCTCAGTATATTCACGTGAATAACCCGCGATTTTTAGTTAAGTTAAGTTAAAATTTCTACGATAATTCTGATTTTTCTTACAGGGTGACATCCATGTACTGTTAGAAAGCATCTGCCTAAACGCAAATCAAATCCGACAAATAGTAATGCACGCGTTTGTAGGACTGAAAGAACTACAAGAAGTATTAATAGAAGACAATCAGATAGAACTTATACAGAAGAGAAGCTTCACTACTCTCGACAATTTGAAGGTCATTAGTCTAAAGGGCAATAGAATCTATGAAATAAGTGAAGAAGCATTCCAGAACATACCTGCTTTGACTGAGTAAGTAATGTTTACTGAAGTTAAAGCAGATCGTCAAGTACGAATAACTATCGCATTCGTACCGTAATAGTACCGTTCGGGGCTCTGATTGGCCGGCCCCAGTGAACCAACTAACCTGAGGCTCCGGCTCGACGTGCAGGAGAAGGAACGGGGTGGTTTTTAGTCAGTAAGAGTCTGACACTCCCTTCCGCCTCACCCAGGCGGGAGCAGTCATTCGATGATTTTCCTTCCTCAAAAAAATGACACGTCCTTTGTACCTTAGTACCAGTTTATTTTACGTTTAAAGTAATCGTAACGAGACTGCATTCGGCGCTCTGATTGGTTGGTTCATTGGAGCCGGCCAATCAGAGCGTCGAACGCTCACTCGTTTCGATTACTTTAACGTAAAAAAAAACTCGTACTAAGTCGCATCGAGTCAGAGCATCGAACGCGCTCGATATTATTACGTTACGATTACGATAGTTATTCGTGCTTGGCACTCTGTAAATTTACACCTAGACTATTAATAATAATTTGTGTGAAATGTATTCTTGTATATAGTGTTTGTGTAACTCCTGTATATTATGCTAGCATCATCATTAACAGCCTATAAATGCCCACTGCTGAGCAAAGCCTCTTCTCAGACGGAGAAGGTTTGAGCATTGATCACCACGCTTGCTCAATGTGGGTTGGCGATTACAAACTTGTTATTAGAAATTATAAGCCCCGGTTTCCTTGCGATGTTTTCCTTCACCGTTTGTCAGTGGTGTCTAGATAATCTTAGAAAGTACATATAACTCGGTAAACGTCACATTGGTAGGGACATGCTACATATTAGTAGGTTTCGAACCCGCACCCTAATGCATGAGAAGCGGGTGTGTAAAAACTCCGGGCCACCACAACACTTAACTGCTAACATACTGTCAAAATTCTTTTAAAAATGATTTTTTAGAAAATCCTTTACAGTCACTCATTGGAGTGACTTGATCTGTCGGTGTCTGCAGTAATGTTAATGTTATTATGCTAGTTTACTTCCATTACTAAAATTGTATTAGGTAATGCTCATCATAAAGACATAGGCTTTAATGTATCATTATCTATTTTTGTCATTTAAGGGTACGTTCACACAGACCGGCTCATAGAGCGTCGGTTCGCTTATTTCTTTTGACACAGATCCAGATCGTGTATGTATAAGCTTGGAATTGTTTAGAGCGGAGCCTGTCTGTGTAACCAGACCCTAATGGTCGTTTTCATAAACCTCTCTTAAATAGGAAGGAACCTTATGCAATGATAGGTCGAGATTTAGATTTTTACCAATCTTTAAGTGACACCTAATAGTACAAGTTTAGGTGATCCTTCACGCTAAGTAATTCTAGTAAATAGAAGAATTAGGGGTGTTTGGCGTAAGCGGCATAAGATACACAGCAAAATGGCAACAATTATAGGCCAATAGCGTTAACTCCAATATTATCAAAAATATTCGAAAAGATAATGTACAAGAGATTGCTTAAATACTTGGATAGATTTGAAATTTTAGTTCCGCAACAATATGGATTTAGACAGAATAAATCGACTACCATGGCAATATTTACCTTAGTAAAAAACATAATAGAAAATATTAATACAAAAAAACCATCCTGTGCCTTATTCCTAGATTTAAGTAAAGCATTTGACCTCGTTGATCATATCAGACTTATAGAGAAACTTGAAAAATATGGTGTTAGAGGCCCTGCAAAAAAATGGTTTCAGTCGTATCTAAGTAACAGACAACAGATAACAAGGGTAGCTAAACTTAGTAAAGTAACAAATACTATTGAAGATTTTGATTCTGTTCCACTTACTAATGGCTGTGGCGTGCCTCAAGGTAGTATCCTGGGGCCGCTACTATTTCTTGTGTACATTAATGACCTACCACAGTCAATAAGTCATCAGTGTGTTCTCTTTGCTGACGATACTACTATTATCATAAAGAGTAATGAACCCCAAAATTTGAGTATTCAGGTCAACAAAGCATTAGGTGAAATTATGAAATGGCTAGATACTAATAAGTTAAAAATAAACATCCTTAAAACTAATGTAATCTATTTTAAAACATGGAAAAGTAAGCCCGTACAAATTGATGTATCATATATAATAATAATGTTATAGAACAAATACATTGCTCTAAATTCCTGGGTATAACAGTAGATGAAAATATTACTTGGAAAACTCATATTGCAAATGTATGTGTAAAAATCAATAAATTTGTCTTTGCTTTGAGAAAAATTACATGTATAACATCCATGCAAACTGCCTTAATGGTATACCATGCATACGTTTGCTCAGTTATCCGCTACGGTATCATTGTATGGGGAAACTCTTCGGATATATCACGAGTGTTCATTGTCCAGAAGAAGTGTGTTCGTGCAATGTTTAATGTTGACTGGTGTGATTCATGTAGACCCGCATTCCAATCAAATAGCCTCTTAACGGTTCCCTGTATTTATATTTACGAGATTTCTAAATTTGTGAAAAATAATCCTCAATTTTTTGTGTCTAACAATAATGTAAATAAAAGAAAAGCTACTCATCTAGAATTTCAGTTACCGGTTCCTAGATTAGAGTTATTTAGACGAAGCTGTATTTACATGGGTCCCTTAATATATAACTCTTTACCAAAAACTATCTCCGGACTACCTTCAAATAAATTTAGTGTAATGCTAAGAAAATGGTTATGTCAGCAATGTTTTTACTCAGTTGACGAATTTCTAGCAAAAAACCCATGTAAATTCTACAATTGTGAGCGATCTGTGAGGTATAGACTGTAAACTTATAATTTAGATAAATTGTTAAATGTTCTATTTCTGTGATAAGTATTTGAACTGTATAAAGATTTGCATGTCGCCAAGCGGCAAGATGTATATGGCACCTTGACTATGTTATTATTATCACCATTATGTACCTACATTTTATGCAAATAAAGATTCTATTCTATTCTATTCTATGGATCTAGCTGTCTCTGTATGATTTTCACCACAGCAGAAGAAAGAAGAATTACTATCATCTTCTTGAACTGACAACAAAGCCAAGCGAATCAAGAATGTTGTTCAATTGTTCATTCATGATTGGCCTCGCTTGTGTAGTCAATTTCTAAAGCTTCGGGCTGATGGTAGTGATCAAGACCGACAGAATTTCAAATGGAAGCTTTCAAGATGAAATTCATTTACTAAATTACTTCTTTATCTTTAGTTTATGATGCTATCCATAACAATTTATTGTAACTTTAGGCTTATTCTTGGTAAAAAAGTGTGTGTTATTGCTTGTGATTTCAGGTTCGGGATCATAGCTAAAAATTTTTCATCTTTAATAATTTTTTCTTTGAACAAATTTTTAAAAAGGCTATTGTAAAGCAAAATATTAATCGGCTTCATCTATTCCAGGTTGGACCTATCATTCAATAACCTTGACACGTTCAAATTTTCAATATTTGACCAAGTCGGATCGGCCACTGCTTTGAAAGTCAACGCTTCATACAATAGAATCGTCACATTGACTGATTCTAATGCTCCTAGCTTCTACACGTCCAACTTCTATCCACCACCGAAAGCCCAAAGTGAGTATTTATAAAGGTACCCGTTACACATACTCTAAAATAGCGTGCCCAAAGGCCTTCTATTGAGCATACTCAGAAATGCTCAAAAATCGAACACCTGTCGATTCGCAAATATGCTTGAAATGAGCATGCCAATTCTGAGTAACATTACGACACTCATGCTAAATGACAAGTGCTCAATAGGGTAGATGACTAGTTTTTATTTTAATGTCCGTCTGGTAGATTATTTAAAAACATTAGACACGTATTTTTTATTTTCTTTACGCAAACGAATAGTTTCGAAGATATATTGATTTGAAATATCGCGTGACGTCACTTTTGAGTACGATTGTATACTCTAAAATGACGTACGTAGCTACCTCCCACTCCTAAACTTTGATTCGTTTATCTAAGTATTGTTTTCTTATACGACAAAATAAAAAAATACGTATCTAATATTTTTTCATTACCTACTTGACGGACTAATTACATTTTTAATTTTCATACCCTATCATCATCCCTATTGAAGCGTGCTTACGTGTTTAAAACTAGCATGTGTAACAGTATCTTTATTTTGTTTTTTTAAATCAATGTTGTCTTGCATTTCTTCGATATTTGTTTCTTTACTAATTTTCTAATTTTCTGTCATTAATCTCCTATATCTCTCCTATCTATCATATCATTTCGGATCTCAAGACTATTCATCAAACATCAGTATGTATGAAAGTATGCTTCTCTCTTATTTGTTTTAGACTAACGTTTATTTATTTAATTTGATTTGCTTTTAAAGTATTTTATTTGTTTTCTATTAACATATTTGATATTTATGTTTTTTATGTCTTTCTATTCATGCTTCTAATATTGGTTTGCTTTCTTCTCTTCGCTTTTTGCACAGGTTTAATCACCGACACTGAGGAAGATTTTGTACTAACACAAGGTGATATTTATCATGCTTTATTAGAATTTATTATTGATTTGTTATTATTTTTGTATGCATAGATAACAAAAAGAGTTTTTATTTAATAAATTAAATGAATTTTGCAGGTCTCGGAACAGTCTCAGTGAATATCAGAGTGTTGGATTTCTCGCATAACAATATCACTTATATCGCGCCGTATTACTTCAGGTGAGTGTTCTATAAAATGGTTTAATTTAATGCCAACATTAAAAGTATGAAAATGACAACATCTTGTTAATTAGAAAGACTGACTAAATTTCCATTAAGAAACCAAGCTACTCTGAGTAGATAGTGTAAGGCCATAAGCTTGTATCTTGTCGCGGAGAACCTAACGGGTAACCGGGGCTCCGGCTCGACGTGCAGGAGAAGGAACGGGGTGGTTTTTAGTCAGTAAGAGTCTGACACTCCCTCCCGCCTCACCCAGGCGGGAGCAGTCATTCGATGATTTTGACCCATAAAAAAAAGCTTGTATCCTCCTTAACGTTATGTAACCCTTTGTCAAAAAACATGTTGAGCCAAACCAGAGGAAAAATATCATATTCTCTAACACTTTAATGTATTTTTTTCTTAACATTCCAGGCATGCTGATCTAACATTAACAGAACTGCATCTATCACATAACAAACTCAGAAACATTACTCGAGAAGTGTTCGGATCTATGCATATGTTGCAATACTTGGATCTGTCACACAACTACATTTACCACATGGAATACGATTGCTTCAAGAGAGTCAAGAACTTACAGGTATGTTGGGAAAAAATTCAACTCCTTAGTAGTAAACCTGTAATAACAGAGCGTATTTCTTAAAAATTCGGCAACGCAGTTGTAATTTTTTTGGGATTGAGGTGGCCATTGGGCAGCTCTGATTGCTTACCATTAGGTGATCTGTCAGCTCGTTTGTCTCTGATTCGATGAAAAAAGCTATCAAAAAAAAATACAGCTACTTCTACCAGATTGATATAGATTGCAATAAAAACATGTTTTGCATGACCTAATTGCATAAAGTGTAATTCTAACGAAACCAAATAGAGACCAAACGTCGGCGCATCAAATACAAAAAAAATCTGTTCTCATATATTATTTTCCGTTTCAGATAATAAACTTGTCTCACAACCACTTGATAGATCTCCCAGTGGAAATATTCCACGACATGCAAAAGTTAACGTCAGTGGATCTATCGGACAATCATATCAAAAATTTGGCTGATAACCTTATTCCATCACCAGCTTTGGAAAGGTACGTTAAAGTCTATATATCTGAACATAGAATGCTATGGTTTCCTGGATGTTTTAAAAATTGACGCTTTTAATAATCATGCATAATAGTTCTTAGAAATATTAGAACGTATCCAGTTTTCTTTGACCACGTTTACATTATTCAAGGATCCAGAAGTAATATGAAATTTTGAAAAAATATCTGATACACAATGTCAGTTCAGCATATGCTTGTGACTGCTAAACTAATGATGAGATTTTTTGCACCAAATGTTAATAAAATCTTCGTTCTTAGGCTAGACTTATCCGACAATGGATTGTCAAGAATCCCAACGAACTGCCTGTCTCCAGCTGCATCAGCTAACTTGGTAGAACTGGATCTAAGTGGTAACACTATACCAGCTGTCGCTTTGGGAGACTTGGTCCAAAGATTCCGGGTGAGTAAAATTCCATATATATACCTAGAAATAACTCAAAACCCCTTTGCATTTGTTTGAATTTTTGATAACTAACCGCTCGATGACAGTATCAGCATTTGATATGCAATGTATCAAGTTGATTATATGACTTTTGAACTTGTATACTTGAGTATTTGAATACCTACTAATGCGGAAGTAAGGAGACATGAGCATGTGTTCGAGAAGTTGATATTACTTTTTAGCCCATATTACCTCAAATGACGACACATTAAGGGCCTATTTCACAATGTCTGAGTAACTGCTATGGTTTATATATATATTATGTCATATAAGTTTATCAGATACTTATAATATGCAGGTTATGAACCAGGTTCCTAATCTTTTCCTTCCATATTGTAACGCTCCTCAAAAAACACCATTCCTTATTTTCCTTCATCCTTTTCTTGTTTGATCCTCCTAATCAGTCCCACCCACCAATCTTCGAAGACTGCATCATCAGTTTAAATCATTTTATATACCATGCTCATATCTCCACCTTTGTCTAACAGAGTTTTGTCGTAGTTTTTGCCAGTGTGTGAGTAGGTATGCTAATATGTTGTCCTATCATGCATGTGTCGCCAGAGCCCTGATCAGTTGAGCGATTACTGGCCCGAGGAGCCCGACTACAGTGACGAATACATGTACCACACGGCTAGACGAGATCACACCAGAGTGTTCCACCAAAAAAAACAATACCCGCAGAATATTTTGTACAAGGTAGATTGCAAACTAGATCATGCCATTACTAACCTTGTAGACTTTGTACTAAGTCACTTTTTGCACCGTACAGCTTATTGTTTTTGATACATTTAAATAATGATTTTTGTTTTACAATATGTTTTGCTGTTTTGCTCGTCTACAGTTTCATTTTCAGCATTACTCGTGTGCATCGATAAATTTGGAGCATTATGTTTCTGTTATTTATTTCATTGACTTTCATATTTAACTTTCAGTTTCAAGCCTATTTTTACTATAAATTATTTCTTTACTATTGTTTTGCTGATCATGTCTACAGAATACGACACATTCTAATACAAGTCCTTTAAACTTTCAGTCTCTAGCATGGTTGGATTTATCAAACAATCATCTTGTACGAATCGAAGGCGGATCCTTCTCAGCGTTGCCTAAGCTCCGCTGGTTAGATCTCAGTAACAATTCACCTTTCAACTCTGGTGACCGAGGAACAACTATTTTCAAAGGATTGGAAAGAAAATTGTCTCACTTGGGACTGAAGAATGTCAGCCTAGTTTCTGTAAGTAAACATGACAATTTGTAAAAATGGATATTTTTTCGTTTTTATACTTTAACTAGCTTTTACCCGCGGCTTCGCTCGCGTCACAAAAGGATAAAAAGCCAATGTGACATATACCAATACACGCAGCGCCATCTATTTTACTTACACCAATACTTTTGTTTCCCAAATTTTTCCGGGATAAAAAGTACCCTATTATTTAATCCGGAGTTCTAACTATACATCTGCAAAAATTCATAGCAATCGGTTTAGTAGTTATGGCGTGACAGTGGAACAAACAAACAAACAAACAAACTCACTTTCCGATTTGTAATATTAGTAAGGATATCACGAAATAAACAAGTGATTGGTAATTTTATTTAAAAGTTCAGTCTTTAAAGTAAAAGGTATGTAAACCTGTTTTTCTATCCCTATTTCAGGTACCTTCAATGTCTCTGAGCAAATTAAAGAGTTTAGACCTATCATTCAACAACCTGCCTTCTATTCCACCAGAAATAACAGCTAACCTCACACGCCTGAGAGCATTAGACTTGTCTTACAATGACCTGACTGTTGTTCCTGTGGTAAGTGTAATTTTTTTACTATAAACATCTTTTTATTATTTTCTTCATATCTCCAATTGTTTGAAGTCTAAGCTCGAAGCACAACTATGGAGCTTCTTTCTCATCCTTCTCTATACAAAACTACATTTCGGGACGAGGTGACTAGCTTCACTAACGGTGAATTCTGATTTGACGTTTTAAAAGAGCTTGTATATGGAATACATAAAAGGATATTTTACTTTGGGTTTACTCTAATGCGTTAAACGTGGAAAACACAACTTCAAATATCATAAAAAGTTTTAATCATGTTCTTCTTTCAGGCAACGCATTCATTGAGTGACCTTCGCTGGCTGTCTCTTTCTGGCAACCCGATCACTGCCCTGATGAACACCAGTCTGTACGGAGTATCTCCTCGTTTGGAATATCTGGATGTTACCAAATTAAGGTTGAGAATACTTGAGGTTAGTGAACATTTAATAGTTTCCTTTTAAGCTTATTTTACTAGTGTCTATTGAGGAAGGATTTGAATTGAATAATAGAATTTTTAACGACCTTTTTTTGGAATTAGTTAATCTCCAGAAGTTTGTTTGGTTCATCTATGATTAAGAGTAATGAATAAGAGTATCGTGAATTATATTTTTTCTTTCTATTTCCAGCACGGTGTCTTCAGTAAAATGTATGGGCTACGGACACTCAAAATAACAGCTTATTCCAACGTGAGAGAGTTCAATGTACCAAAGATGCTGTCATATAACGCCGGTTTGGAGAACTTGATGATTGAAACCGATTATGATTCAGTGGAGTTTGGCAAAGAGATGTATGGGCCACTGCCACTCAAGCTTAATAATATTACCATCACTGGACGATATTTGAAATATTTGACGCAATATCTGTTGAGCGTAAGTATTTATGACCACTACAGTATTTTTCTTCTGATAACTTTAGGAAGTCTGTTTAAATATTTTTGGTTATAATATTATGATTATCAATGTTGTCCCATTTACATTAACTATTGAATGTTAATTTTTGAATCCGACCACTATGTGTGTTTAATTTTGATTTTTTTATTGTCCACTTCTAAACACAAAGCCTTTCTAATATTACAGGGCGTCCAATCTAAAGTACTTCGACTAACAGTCTTCAATACCAGCGTAGAAGAGATAGCAAGCGAAGTGTTCTGGCGACCAGGTCGCGTCACCAACCTGACGCTTGACTTGAGATATAACGACATAGTGAGAGTACCGAACCCTTCTCAAAGGGCATGGCCACATGTCCCCAATACGGTGTTCCTGCAGGACATACTGGTTGCTGGCAATCCTTTGACTTGTGACTGCGGTATCGGGTAAGTTGGCTTTTCTGAACTTGGTTTTACCAAATTGATATTTGATAAAACTAATTACATCATCAAAAGGTTGCTCTTGATGTAAGCAGCTCTTGACAGATTTTTTAGTGGTATTAAGTTGAACATTTCTTGAAATCATTACTATCTCAATTGTATATTCCCCAAGTTAATTAGTAATGTTGCTACTGTCTGTGGAACATTATACTTCCTTGTGAACTAAATAGAAATTTGATGAAAAATCAGAACTAATCTTGGCTTCTTATAATTATGTCGTTTATTCGTGCCAAATCATTAGGTCGAAAGTTTTGGTAGAATTTCTATCGAGTAGCAAAATACAAGCGGATAAACAATTTACTTCTTTAATACTAAATAATCTTCTCGTTACAGATGGATAAAAGCATGGGACCGTAAAAGAAGACAGTACCTTTGCGACAGCCCGTCTAATTGCGTGTCAACCCGTGACGATGTCAGATTCGCAACGTGCCCAGCATACGACAACAGAACATTTGCTGACGTGAGTTGGTCTCCATATTATTAACGATCGTCCCTCAATTATCCTTTTATGATATACCAAAATTAGGAGAAAATATGATTTTTCTTTTATGACTTAATTTCTTACTTTCAGGTTTTATCAAGAGATCTGGATTGTGAATGGAACAAAGGCTTCATAGGATCCCCCAACTTCTTCATAGTGTTAGGTCTGTCTATCCTAACGTGCCTCTACATATGAGGACTGTTCTGGCTACTTGGGGTATACGAGGAATTCAACTTGATTTTGGCAAGGGTATAATTCTAACTCTTAAAGGCCTCACTTAAGTCGTACTTTATTGATTTAATAGATACAATACCACTTTTGTACAGAATAAAATTCTGACGCTTATCAATTTTTCGATACTTTGGAACATAGAACTATATAGTATTTAAATCAAAGAAGATTATTACAGCTACTTTAAAATATTATGTAAATAAAATCAAATGCAATCGTTAAGGGTTGTAGGAATCTTCTTCGATCAGACGAAATCCAGCAAGGAGTGAGATAGCATTGAAATGTTTTTCATACTGTACCTGTTCTTGTGGCCTACATACTGAGTCTTGGTCTGGGAGATCCTGAATAGCCAAATCCTAGTTAGTGTTAGTGAAACGGAAGTATATGCTTTAAGACTTGAAGTCAGGACATTGACGCATTGACGGAGGACAAGTGACTTTTGTATACTTAAGTGATTGCGATAACTCTAGTGAAGCCTACTAAAATGTGATTTATCGTTTAAAAAAAGGAAAGCAGTTGTGTGATCTCAGAAGAATCGTTGGACAAGTTACCGTAACTTCATATTTCTTAGTAAATTACAGTTTGCGTTCCCCCCTCCCAAAACCCTGTTTTGCGTGTGTAGTTTTAAGAAATTTTAATTTGAACATTTCACGCATTTCGTGCACTGCCTTACATAACGAATTTTCTGTGATTATTGTCCAGAATCTATGTCCAACTTGTATGGTGCGTTTGATCTTACACGATATTGTTAAGAACCGCGTGTGGAAGTGCACTTAATGTGTTTTAGAAGTTGCATTTACGTCGTTTTATAAGATAAGTTCACACGAAAGCAATGACTTAATTATGATCGTCTAAGTAGACTGCATTCGCTCGAATGGTATATGTGTTCGTCCATTATTAAGAGTAAAAATATTATTTATAGATGTATTCATTTTTGTAATAGGTGACTTTAGGTGTAGACTAATCGAATCATTTATAAACATTTCCTTATATTCAATATCTTTAACATTTTCTTCATTGTCATTTATTTCATAGTACGTAGTTGTTTTAGGATCGTTGTTACGACGATCTTGATTCTAAACAAATGTTTGTACAAAGTCTCTAACTCATTCGTCATAAAGTCTATATTCAGAGTCACTATCTTCAATAAGAAAGCTTAATCCTATTCTATTTACTCTTTAATATTTTCATTGTTTAGCTGTTTACAAAGTCTATCTGGTTATTGTTGTATAAACATATTTTATTACATATTACGTATAAATAAATGTGTCATTAGCTGTTATTGTATCGGAGCATGCTGTAATATATACATTGTACGTATATACTAGGATTTTATCGACTGAATTTAAGTGTTTCGGAGCTATATCGCTGGTTATTGTATAAGAAATGTTGTTTGTATGATGTCCAATGTGGCTTGTTTTTATTGTTGCGTCGCTTCACTTTTTTCTGTCACAGTTTTATTAATTTTTCTATGGATATTTTAGACGTGCACGCTAGCAATAGTTTAGTCGGTTGAGAGTTGCATGTTTCTAGCTTTCTTATCTATTTCTATAACTGAGTGAGTTCAATTGAATACCTCTTCTTCAGTGGTCCAGTGTGTGCTGTCAGGCCTATTGTTGACTTTTGTTTTCAATGCCATTTCACGATGCACTTGATTATTTTATACCACTTCAGTGAATCGTACACAAGAATGTTTTAGTGACACAACGTTGGCGTTAAGTTTGGTATTGAAAACAAAGGAATATCGTTGTAACAATGAATATATTTTGTGATATATATTACTCTAATCCTTCTATTTTTGATAAAGCCTACAATGAATATTGCTACTAAACGGGAATTGTATAGCTGAATAAAATTGACATTATTAATAAAAATATTACCGCTTCTGTATACATTAGATCCGATTGTCAATTGTTGAATTATATTAAATCATTTTCTTCGATGGTACTAAATGGTATGGTTGTATTTTATTCGAATAATAAATAGCTTGCTTGACTTTTATGATAATTGTATTTAAATAGCCCTGCATCACAATTTCTGACCTATGGTAGCTAAAAGCATTTTTGTAAGGTCGGTGAAATACAAACAGAATATCAATATATATTTCCTAAAGATTTTAAAATACTCTTAATTACTTTATCTGCAATGAGAATTTTACATCGGCTTGTATTATTACTACGTTGCTCACTAGTGCCATCTACATTTTATGTAGCAAACCTCGATTATGACGAGAACTTACAAATTAATTCTTCTGCAAGGTCCATTGTGATAGTAATAGCTAGTGCCAATACATACAGAACTAAATAATTATATTATAAACAACAACTTGTTTATTATTACGGAAATTTTATTTTGCGATTGGAAATACGACCATTGAGTAATATAAATAAGTATCAAAATATCTTGTAACTTTTTATTTGGAAAAATCTTGACATGTGCTATGCGGCATTAAGTTCGTGTTTATGTTCTATTATTTTCATTTGTGTAAATTAATAAATCATACTACCTACAAGTATGAATGAAAAAAGTTTATTTTAATGTAAAATGAACTTTAAATTAATATGGTTAAGGGTGTGTTACAGCTAAGTTCGAACAAATAAAATTGTGTGAAATCTAATCACTTTATGTAAGTACGTAATGATATGAGCCTTAAAATAATATCAGCCAGTATTATTATGATTTCTACGGCAATACAAATAAAGTTTAAATTAATATATCAACAATTTTTATTTAATTTTAATATTTAACAAAACCAAAAGGTCCAATCGTAAAATGAAAGTTTATTAAAGAAAGCTATATTACGTTCACAATATGGTTTTAAATTGAATCGCTGTAAATATGTTTTATGATATTTCTTTGTAATAGAATGTTAAGGAGAATAACTAAACGTCGCTAATTCAGTGAGTTTGAATGTTATTTTAAAGGGATAGAGGACGAGGGAATGTTTTTGTCTTCACTACTTAAAAGAATAGTGTGAAATAAAAATAAGTAATCATTGAATTATTAGCGTATTAAAATAAATTATTGCGTAAATATTATTTGTTGTTTGATTTTTTCCCAAGTCGTACCTACTTTTTTATGATATAAGCCGGTAAACAGCCGGTAAACAAGCAGACTGATCACCAGGGTGCTTACTTGAAACCAATCTCAATGTCAATGTAATTCCAATCCACTAAAAACCTCAATAATTATTCAATGTCAAAACTATACAACCCTTATCGTAGCTGTTAAAATAGCATTCAGAGTACGGAATATAAAGCCAAACTCGATACCATTTAGTTTTTTAAATATCCACGCAATACGGATGCAATGGGCGCTAGTGTTGCAACTCAAGAGTACGACATTTCACAAAAACAATGTCGATCGTTGAGAATTGGATTCAACAGTAAGCACCCTGATAGTAAGCAATCGGCGCTGCCCATGGATACCCGAAACGCCAGAGGCGTAACAAGTACGTTACCAGCCTTTTGGGGTAAGGAATTTGATGATTATTAGGAATTTGAGGATTGGAGGGATTAAAAAGGGGTAACTGGGCCTCCTGTCCTTACTCATACGATGAAACACAACGCAAGTGTTGTTTCATGTCGATTTTCTGTGAGGCCGTGCTATCACTCCGGTCGAGCCGGCCCATTCGTGCCGAAACATTGCTCTCCTACATTCGATTCCTGGGTGATGCTTTATCGTGGTTCAAATTTAATCACCGAGGTTTCGGGTTCGACTCTCGAGTAGGACAAACATTGTTTGGTCTTTTTAAGGTTTTTGAAAATTCTCAGTAATATTACGGAGTCAGGAATTATGGCTGACATCTTCTATGACATAGACACTGGGCACTTATACCTACTCCTACGGTTATTAAACGGCATCATAATGAACATTTTTGAGAACTTACATTTAATAGAGTTTATTCTTAGTTTACAGAACTGGCGAGCACCGTTTTTTCAGTTATAAGATGTTCGAAAACCCATCTAAAAATATGCCTCGATAACCGTTGCTTAACTTACTACCTCCAGAACATACATAGACGGATTTTTTTTTTTAAGGGGGGAAAATCATCGAATGACTGCTCTCGCCTGGGTGAGGCGGAAGGGAGTGTCAGACTCTTACTGACTAAAAACCACCCCGTTCCTTCTCCTGCACGTCGAGCCGGAGCCCCGGTTACCCGTTAGGTTCTCCGCGACATACATAGACGGATAGGAAAGTATTTTCTTTTCCAGGGTCCTTAAAGATTGATAGAATCTTGTTGATTTTGCTCTGAAACTGCAATTATATGAGTTTCACGCTGTAATTATTGGTTAATGTTTTTACAAACAGCTTGGTTATTTACTATATGGGACAAGCATGGCGATATATAGGTCTATAATTATTATTATTTATATAAATACGACTGCCTTGGTGCCCGAGTGTTTGTAAGTGTGACTGCAACGGCAAAGGGGTCTCGGGTTCGATTCGGGGGTCGAGCAAAATATTATTGCTTTTTTAATTCTCAGTAGCAGCACGGAACGTGGAATTATACTCGGTATAATATGGCAATAGGTTCACCACTTATTACATGGGACTCATAACATAAATAGTGAAAAGTCGGTGTTACATTATACAGTGATATTAAGTGCCGTAATATGCACCTTTCCGGGAATAAATGGTGTAAACTTATGTTATGTATGTAAATACAAGTTAAACAAGCAATTCCCGAGAACAGCCCCTTCAACCAAATACAACAAACAAACTATTCAAGGAACCATATAAGTATAGATAATCCTAACATAACAAAGGTCAAAATACGAAAGGTCGCGCTCTAGATGGCAGTCCATTTGTGGTAATCGTCTACTGTTGGTAATTGAATCGTGCTCCCTACAGCGAACAAAATTAGATGAAACATGAACAGCATAACGAATCAAATAATCTTGATGTTTCATCTTATATTTGTTGACGGACTAGCTTCTACCAAGGGTTGATATGTACGTATGTATTCATAGACGTCATAGACGACAAGTATTTTTTTAGTTTTCGGCTTTGTTTTTTCACTAAAAGCATCCACTGCTGAACTCTAAATTACATACATAGGTACATCAACAGCCTATAAGTGTGCCTACTGCTGAGCTTCACAAAGCTTCTTTTCACACGGAGAAGGTTTGAGCATTAATCACCACGCTTACTCATTGAGGGTTGGCAATTTGATACTTTTAAGTAATTAGAAATTATAAGTCCAGGTTTCCTCACGATGTTTTCTGTCACCGTTTGTGAGTGGTGTCCACGTGGTGTCTAAATAAATAAAGTACATACATGTAATTCGGAAAAAGTCACATTGGTGCTTGCTGTTAATAGGTTTCGAATTCGCACCCTCATGCATAAGAAGCGGACGTCTTAATCCGGGCCACCACCTAATACTTTAAATTAATATGTATTGTGCCAAATACTCCTAAGGAGATTTTTGCGGGAACCTAATTACCAATTCTTCTATGGAACCTCTCTTCTAGGTTAAATAATGATTGATTACCTATACTACTATCTTACTATTTCCTATCTATTTACCTAATTATAGGATCTAGTCTCGACAAAACAATCTCGCGAGCAGTCTGGGAACCACATATTTTTTATTTTTTACCTTCTTCATGATATTCAACATATCTACTATTAACCACATCTCTCAATCACATTTGGTAGGCTACCATCATAGCTTGGTCTCCGAGATTCTATTAATACACTGAAAATTATCAGGATGGTCCATATTTAAAAGGTAAAGATATTTTAGTTTAATAGTAGGTATGTCCATTTCAATGCATTTCTATTCTAAGGTATACCTGATGGATTGCGAATTTGTGATTGATATTGGATACTGAATACGTCGTACAAGGTATTTGGTTTGTTTGGTAAGATAACATTTGTCACTTTCCAGGATGGACTAAAGATGATTTTAGTTTTAGAAAAATTCTCGAATATTGGCTGGCTGAATATTGAATTGGCTTTTACTCATAAGTTATGAATTATATCATGACTAATAATAAAACTGGTGAAAGCAGTTATTAGCAGTTACACAGTTATATACCGTAAGATTCCCATAGCCATAACAATATTTTTCGATGTCTGCGAACGATGGACAAAAAAAATACTAACAGAAGACCTCATTAATATTTATTACTGCATGGACGAAATATCAACAACAGTAATAGAGGTCCGGATATTGTATCGACTATTATCTTTCCACTCCAGAAACTAGTACATAGATATATAGACAATAGATTGCAGAAATTGCTGGACAAATCCTGTAAATATTTATCCCATGTTCCAATGTTTACTCACTTGATTTGTATTTGTTTTCTCATATTTACTCTTAGGGCTGTGGAAAAAGGATTCAAAATACGATGTGTTAGAAATGTTTAAATATAACGCTGCTATATTTGAAATAGTTGTGGGTACAACTATTTCAAATAAAGATATAATATTGACAATTATATCCTAAAAAGAAGAGCGCATGATTTTAATTTAACTCGTCGAGTACCGGTTTTATAGACACAATTAAAGAACAATGGGTCGCGGTCACCGGTGACCGCTTGGTGTTTGACAGTTTAAATAAAACTACAATTAAACATTAACTAACATTGTTTATAAAAAAACTAAGTATTCAACTAAACACAACACTGTACTTGAACAAATTATCCTTTTACACTATATAATATCCTTTCTCCTGGAGCGACGTAAAGTACAAATCCAATCGTGGAAGGACCAGCGTCGTACCACAACGCACATTGTATTGCCAACGAGATACCAATCGTGAACTTGGATATTTGGATAGCGACCAAAGGGGATTTCTCATCTTTGCGTAGAGGAAAAACGTTTGCATCAATGCCAGGGGGATCCGGGTAGTACTTTATCTTCCCAATATGTTCCTTGTCATAAGAGTGGTAGCCTTCACATCGCAACCACAACTTCGTCCTGTCTGCCTTCATCCAAGTTTGGACGTCTGCCGGTACACTCTTAGCAATCGTAGAATTGAATTGCAGAGGATGAGCAGCCCAGTTCAAACGCTTATTTATTCTTATAATAACACATGGCTCTTCTCCATACCCGTAAGGAGATTCTCCACATGGTCCCAAATTACCTATTTCTCTCTTTCTTCTGTTTTTTGAGAGTAGCTTGTCAAGTGCGTCAACATACTTCTTGTAGTCATCCTTTTCTCCATTTTTGTACCAGATCAATGGTGAATTGTGGTCGGATAATGGAGCTGCTGTCAGCCCAACAATTGGATATGAGAATGACGAATCGAGTGCTGAAACTTTGTCAATATTTTTGAAGTCAATTAAATATTTGAGTATTTCTAAAGAAATATAGAGGATTACTAGTGTAAAGGTCATGAGGAATAGCAGGTACATGATGGAATATGCGATGATGCAGACCCAGCTCTTGCAGGTTCTTCCAAGAATTTGTCCTGTTTGCTTGTTGTATATGAATCGTTTTAACTTTGTCTTGAATGGGTCATCAGTGAGTTTGCTGTATTGTTCAGTGGATATTGCTGCTGGCGACGGTTGTGTGATGTTAGTGCTTAGCGAAGGCAGTGTCTTAGGAACATTGTGCGTCATCTTTATTATTGTATTGTACACAACATTAGCTAAAAAGTGATCACAATGAAAGCTGTCAACACTAATTGATTGACAGCAAAGATGACTTCCTATTTATCATTCAGTGTGGTTACGATTTATGTATGAAGGTTTTACACTGAGGTTTAACAGCGTTAATAGGGGATCGGACAAGAGCTTTTCAAAAACTATTTTTAAAAAACTATTTTAAACTAATCTTTACGGTTATTTATACCCGTAAAATATATTATTTTTTTCGTTACTGCTTTATTATTAAAACAAAACGTGTTTAAAAATACGTATTTTAAAATTATCGTGAAATGCCACCAACTGTCAAACTAGAGTGCGTGACGTCATACGTGGGTAATTAAACAGTGCAAATCCACTACGATGACTGTAATTATTGTTGTTTACGTTCGTTACCCACGTATGATGTTTCGTTACAGGTATAGAACAGATTACAAATATTGTAATTATCAAATTTTGATTTTTGATTTGTTGAAAATTCGTTAAATATTACGCAGATTTTATTTATGTACACTTTATATTTTGTCTTCATTGTTGTCCGATCCCCTATTTTGTAATAGTCACGATCAACGCCATCTAGGGGCCAAAACAGGAAAAAATAATACAGTAAAAAATTGCATCTTATTGTGCTAAAAGCTGCTGCGAACCTACCCTTAAAACAAAAAATATGCTAAGGTCATATGCATACAACTAAGACGCGATATATATGGAAATAAACAAAATGAAGTACAGGCATTATTTATTTGTTTGACAAATCGTGTTTCTTAGGGAACACGAAAAGGTTTTGCAAGTGACAGGGCACTCGGGCGGACATACAAGTAATTTCCTTGTGTCATATTGCATTACTTGGTTAAGTAAAATAATATTTTTCTTGAAGGAAACGTCGTCAAAGTTGGTCATCCCAAATGGCTTAAAAATATAAACAAACATAAATTGTTGTCGCACATTTTAATTTTTCTCATAGGCGGCATAAGAAAAGTACTAATTTCAATGTTAATATTTAAGTTATGTAGCGGAGAACCTAACGGGTAACCGGGGCTCCGGCTCGACGTGTAGGAGAAGGAACGGAGTGGGTTTTAGTCTGTAAGAGTCTGACACTCCCTCTCGCCTCACCCAGGCGGGAGTAGTCATTCGATGATTTTACCCCTTTCAAAAAAAGTACCTAAGTTATTATTATTACCAATACTAGAACATGATAAATTTGGGTTTGAAACTTTAAGGCCGTGGGGCCCAAGTGCACATCTTCTTTACAAAGATATTGTAAGGAGGATCGTTGACACTTGAGGTGATCGAAGCGCTGGCTACTACCTTGGGCAAAGGTTAAGCATTGCCATTCAATGTGGCAATCCTGCCAGACTTTTGGGCACTCTACCTCACGGTAGCGATGAGGAAAATATTTTCTTTGATGCCTTAAGATACATTTTTTTTAAGTTTCTTTTTTTATGGCTAAGCCGGTAAACGAGCAGACGGATCACCTGATGGTAAGCAATCGGCGTCGCCCATGGACACCTGGAACACCAGAGGCGTTACAAGTGCGTTACTTGCCTTTTGGGGATTAGGAGTTTGAGGATCGTTGGGGATTCAGGAATTGGGGAGATTGGGGAAGGGGAGGATAATTGGGCCTCTGGTAACCTCACTCACACGACGAAACACAACGCAAGCATTGCTTCACGTCGGTTTTCTGGGAGGGCGTGGTATCACTCCGGTCGAGCCGGTCCGTTCGTGCCGAAGCATGGCTCTCCCACACTTACGTCGTACCACACTTAACTATAATAGAGTTAAAGGAGAGCAGTCACTTAAGCTATACATAGGTACATAATAGCGAAAATTTATGTCAGGACTTAAATCACTACTTGTCAAGGACTTAAGGACACGTACTTGAAATGAAATGACATGAAATACTAATATTACAACTTAATATAACAATCTCGAAACGAACTGATAAAGAAAATACGTTATATCATTAACGTCTATTCACTGTTAATTGCCATCATTATCGTGGGAGAGATTTTCGTATTTCTTTGCCAGAAGTAATAAAAACTTGGACCAGTGACAATGACCTCTCACCAGATGAGCAGTTCTTAGTAACTTAGTTATTGATATGTTGGTCAGTAGATAGGTACCTATGTTGGTACAAAAACCAGTTTTTTTATGAGAAAAGTTTTGCGCTGACAAATGTGATGATTTTCGCTGAGTTTTCTTTTGTTGAAGGTGGTAACGAGTGTTAGAGTTCGAAATTAGGGTGCAATAACTGTCGAAATAAACAATTATTATATAGGTACCTACTTGCCGCTTCCACGTTTTCACTCGCTTTGCTCGGTGCGTTTTGATCGTGATGTAATGCTTTATGGCCGCCTTCCTCAATGAATAAACTATCCAACTTCAAATCGAATTTTAAATAGTTTCTAAGAAAAGCGCTTTCAAACAGACAAACAAACTCGTTAGTTTTATATAACAACATGTAATAAAACAAAGTCGCTATCCGCCGTCTGTCTGTCGCTATGTATGCTTAGATCTTTAAAACCACGCAACGGATTTTGATGCGGTTTTTTTAATAGATAGAGTGATTTTTAAAAAAGGTTTATATGTATAATACATGTACATATATTGCACTCGTGCGAAGCCGGGGCGGGTCGCTAGTAGGATATAAGATGATAAACCTACGCTCGCCTGTGACAGGATTATCCTAGTACAAGCACCTAACCAAGTACCATCTATTTTATTCACCCAAAGAATATGTTTATATCGGTGTCGATTTACATTTCTGAAGAAAGATTATTTATTATTATTATTTGTTAAAATTTGTAAAGTAAATCTTTATTATGGACTGGTCATGTCTTTTATTTCTGGAAAGCGAGCAAACAGCTTCACTAGAGGACTGTCCGACAGACTGACACTTTGAATTTTTTCTTAAATATTCAAAGTGCCTGGTCTAATTAAGATAAATGATTTTAACTTTGACTTTGAAGAGATATTAAAATATACTCATTTTCAATATAGCACCCGCTTTTCATTAGTCATGTTATAAGTCATACGTAAAAGTGAGCCTATTATTATACACCAAGCACAATCAACGGTACTATGTAAATGTATTACCGGTTTTTTTATTAATCTCAGTAGTAGCACGGAGTCTGGAATTGTGCCCGGTATATGGCAATAGGCTCACGCCCTATTACATGGGACTCATAACATAAATAGTTAAAGGTGGGTGTTACATTGTACTGTGGCATTGACTACCGTAACTACCATACCGTGCACTTTTGCCCACCCCGTCGAGAATAAAAGGCGTGATATTATGTTATATAAATATACTACGCCTTGGACTCTACTAGGAATTAAATGCCGTTAAAATCAATACGGGGATGCTTCAAAGAAGAATATTAAATTATCAGCGACAATACAAAAGAAATCCAATTGTACACTTAATAAAGAGCTTTATGGAATAGCAATTATCATAATGAGAGACTGTCGTTTTCTCAAAAGGCTCTCGATGAAGCAATTATTATAATCAGATGACATTGTCCCTAGATTCTACTTACTTGATGTAAATATGTAGCTAGACAGAATTCTAGGAACATTTTGATTATGAATTCTAGTTTTTATAATAACTATCGTGAGACATACGGCTCCGAGTACTAATAATTATAGATCTATTCATTCATAGAATAATAAGCATAATTTTATGATATTTATTTATGCGTCATTAAGTATATAAAACACACAATTTCTAACAATAGAATTCATTAACTAAAAATCGCGGGTTACTCACGTGAATATAATATGTCAGTAGGCTTCGCGATATCGCCACGACCGACCACGCTGCTCTTGAGGAAGAACTCCCATATGGTTCGAAACTAGTAGAGATTTCCTAAGTATATTCACGTGAGTAACCCGCGATTTTTATTTAATGAATTCTAGTGTTAGAAATTACGTGTTATCTTATACTCAATTACGCATAGATATCATAACATTATGCTTATTATTCCATGAATGAATAGATCTATCATTATTAGTACTCAGAGCCGTGGAGAACCTAACGGGTTACCGGGGCTCCGGCTCGAAGTGCGGGAGTAGGAACGGGGTGGTTTTTAGTCAGAAAGAGTCTAACACTCCCTCCCGCCTCACCCAGGCGGGAGAAGTCATTCGATGATTTTCCTCAATAAAAAAAATCACTATTAGTACACTTCATAGGAAAATAACCTTTTGGTAAATACGTACGGAGTACGAAACTAAACCAATATGTACTCAGATACTCATTACTTATAAACACATACAATTAAAGAATTTTTAGAATTTAAAGAACCTTTAACATGGTTGAAACTAGTCGAGTTCCTCGTAAAACAGTTCCTTGAGTAGGTAAGCTGAAAACATAATAATTAATGTAGTTTCAACATTATCAAGTTAAAATAATTAAGTTTTATCCGATTCCGGGAATCGAACTCATAGCTTCGGGCTCGGCAGACATCTTCCCAAGCACCTAACCACAGATATAATTTAAATTAGCCACATCCCGTTGCAAATACCAGTGGCTTTTACTTCCATGAATTAATTAAGAACTCCAAATACTTAAATACCCTACCAATGTTATTGAACGTGAGAAAGGGACACATTTATACAAGACATATATCGCCATCTCTTTTGTACAGACGGTTGCAAATCAAGCCATATATAACCAGTTTATCATGGTCTCGCTTCGTATCATCTTCCCCTACATTTGAGGGTCAGCTTATACTGGTTTGTTATGTTGCCATGGGAACATGGGACAATTAAATAGTCACTTAATAGCCCCTAGCTTTGTTATAGAAAGCCTTGTAAATGATGTCCAATTGTCAAATTGACATAAATATATGTATGTATACTACCTAGCTGACCTGGAAAACTGCGTACCGCCTAAAAATTTTTTATCACCTTCTAGACCTTCCCTAAACTTCCACACACCTTTCAAGACCAAAATTAGCCAAATCGATTCAGCCATTTTCGAGTTTTAGCCATTAACCAACGGAAAATCATTTGTATTTATGTAATACTAGCGGACCCGACAGACGTTGTCCTGTAATAATAGATATAGATAAATAACCTAGAAACCGACTTCAGCGCCATCTGCCGGGCTGATTTGTGAATCTAAACCATTCCCAGATCCCCTTGAACACACACAAAAAATTTCATCAAAATCGGTCCAGTCGTTTGAGAGAAGTACAGTGACATACACACTCACAGAAGAATTATAGAGGTATATATAAAGACTAGCGACCCGCCCCGGCTTCGTACGGTTGCAATATACATGTATTATACATATAAACCTTCCTTAAGAATCACTCTATCTATTAAAAATACCGCATCAGAATTCGTTGCGTAGTTTTAAAGATCTAAGCACACATAGGGACAGGGAAATGGCGGATAGCGACTTTGTTTTATACTATGTAGTGATGTAGATAGATGATGACATAATTACCTATAAAATAATAATGCGAGAGTATTTTATGAATTTATGGTTTACATTATTCAACAAGGCTGATTTTCGCTAACATGAATTCTTAACATGATATGTTTTCTCTCGTAACAGGGTCTAGTTAAATCTATTTAAGTACCTGATTTCTATACAAAGGGTCACTAGAAGTAGCTTATCGAGGTAGGCAGAGAACGCACGATACAAGACGTTTTTGGCATTACCGCTTCCGTATTTTACTTAGTCATAACTACTTTTGTATAATATCTCATCAGCTTTATATAAAAACTAGCTTTTACCCGCAGCTTCGCTCGCGTCACAAAAGAATAAAAAGTAGCCTATGTGACATATACCAATACACACAGCGCCATCTATACCAATAATTTCGTTTTCCCTCGAGAATATCAAATTTTTCCGGGATAAAAGTACCCTATTATTTAATCCAGACTTCTAACTTCACGTTTGCAAAAATTCAAAGCAATCGGTTTAGTAGTTACGGCGTGAAAGTGGAACAAACAAACAAACAAACAAACTCACTTTCCGATTTATAATATAAGTAAGGATAGTTTGCCCGCGGTTTGGTCCGCATAGAATATGAATTTTAGGTCATAACCTTTTTATGATTCAATTTTCCAAAATAAGAAAGCCTATGTTACTCTTTTGTATATTAGCTACTTGCCAATAAAAGTCCCGTCAAAATCGTTCCAGCCATTCGAGAGATTAGCCAATACAGACAGAGACACAGACTAAAATCAATAAAAAATATTATTTTGATATGTGTATCGTATGTAATTATATTCATAATCAATATTAGGTACAAACAGACACATCAAATTTATTTATCAGTATATGGATGGCTAGAAAAGCTTCTGATTAACATGTTACCAGAAGATGGCCATCGAAGTGCCTCAGTACAAAGAAATAAATCCATTACCGCACCCACATAATAAGCTAAAGTGTTTGTTTAATAAACATCAACACATATTTTCCAATAACACTACCGCACCTAAAGCCGTATACACATGCACAGCATATTTATGCAGCTGAGCACACACAGCTTGTTAGCTAGCTTACCTGGGTGAGTTCTATGCTTAAACAAACATTTCTGACGTACATCGCCCATAATTGGCTTAAAAGAATTATTGTTTAAAGCTATAATAGTTTTGTGAATGCGGTGAATTTGGAATACTTGCAATTTTGTTGTTTTTTTTATGGATTAGGAGGCAAACGAGCAGACGGATCACTTGAGGACCGCCCATGGACATCCGCAACACCAGAGGAGTCACAGGTGCGTTACCGGCCTTTTAAAAAGGAATACGCTCTTTTCTTAAAGGTTTGAAGGTCGTATCGGTTCGGAAATACCGCCGACGACAGATCATTCCACAGTTTGGCTGTGCGAGGCAGAAAGCTACGTGAGAATCGCACAGTTGTGGCCTGCCAACCATCTATATGATGGGGATGCATATTATGCTGTCGTGAGGTTCGAAGGCGGAAAGATGCGGCAGGAATCAGGTCAAACAATTCCTCAGAGCACTCACCGTGGTATAAGCGATAGAAAATGCACAATGAAGCTACATCTCTACGCATTGCCTAAGTGTCCAGCCGGTTTGAAACATCCCGACATCCAACACTCCGAACGGCACGCTGCTGAACGCGGTCCAGAGCCTGCCCCACGTTTTATTATTGTAAGTAATTGAAGCCTAAAAAATACGCAACATTTCAGGTGCTATGTAGTTAGTACAAGGTGACAATATACTAGGGTAGTTTTTAAACGAATATCAAAAAAAAAATTATTATTAAAAAAACAAAATACCCGACTGCACACTAAAAAAAGAGTAAAACAAGCCCCACAATAATATTGATCAATCAAATGCTAAAAACTAATTATGTAATACCGTTTAAACAATACCTATATTAAAATACACTACAATATGTGTTCGTAATCGATAGTTAAATAAACAGAAACTTATTTTGAATACAAATTTACTGAATATAATTTATAAATGTTGATGGAAAGCATCGCAGGCGGGGACCAACAGAGGCTTATTTATAGTCATTTCGGTTGTGCACCATTTAGTAGAATTTTCGTTGGTGGCGGTCAAGGTGGTCCCGCCTGCGATGCTTTCCATCAACATTTATAAATTATATTCAGTAAATTTGTATTCAAAATAAGTTTCTGTTTATTTAACTATCGATTACGAACACATATTGTAGTGTATTTTAATATAGGTATTGTTTAAACGGTATTACATAATTAGTTTTTAGCATTTGATTGATCAATATTATTGTGGGTTGTTTTACTCTTTTTTTAGTGTGCAGTCGGGTATTTTGTTTTTTAATAATAATTTTTTTATTTATAACTTTTTAGCTGTTTTTATTTAACGAAAATGTTGTAGATGTAGAAGACTATGTATATGTAAGTACCATTTTAAATTATTTCGACGACATTTGGCTTTAGATTACGAGTGATGTTACTCCGCAACATAAATTTACCGCCAATCTGGGCTGTTGGTAGTGAAGAAGAAAAAGAATTAGGTGAGTCATTACTGCTGAAGATCCCGCAAACGTTTAAGTTCAGTTAAAGAACATTCGTCGTGGGGCCGGTCCAACAGCTTTTTTGGGTCAAGTGTTTTTATTGCTAACCCAGCAAGTGTTTTAACACGGCTTAGGGCTACATAAGCCTGGCCCTTTGCAAACACGTTTGATAGGTCCACGACAGCCCGATCCAAGGTGGTACCTTGCAGTTTGTGTACCGTTACAGCCCAACAAAGTATCAAAGGCAGCATCCGACGTTCAATCTTCCCTTGTCCGCGAAGCGCATCAAAGTCGACAGTGGAGGGCTCTATGCGAACCCCCACACCCAATTCATTGCCCTTAACAGAACGATCGTCGAACTCTACGAATACTGCCTGCGGTAACTCACCTGGTTCTAACTGCTCTCTGCGAAGAGAAGGCCACTCAATTCTTCTTATGATACCCATAGCACCGTTCACCAGACCGTGGTTTACATTGATGTTGCGGCGTAACATCACGCGAGATCCAATTCCAATAGTTAGTGTGCCGAGAATGCCCCCTTTAATATGAAGAATTTAAGAAAGAACCAAAAAAAAGAACGGAAGAACGAGTTAATTAATTAGAAAGAACGAATAAATTTAAAGAGAGAAACACGAAAGAAAAAAAAAGAACGAGTTATTTATACTTTATAAGTTTCGCGTCAGACGACGAAGTATCGAAAAAATCGCTATTTAGAGACGACCGTCAACGACGTGTGCCCTCATGCGTGTGCCCGCAATCGGGCTGTATACTCGAGCATATCCCCCTCCGCACCGCGCCGCGCGCCGCATGCCAGGCCACGCCCTATCTTTTTGCTTGCTAACGCATGAGTTGCTTTGCGTTGACGCAGAATTAACATGTTCCCGTGGGAATTTTGAGAAAAAACGTATCCTATATTAATTACTCCCGTGATTGAAATGAATCTAATGATACCGCATACATATTTTTTTAAAGGGAAATTTAGAAAAAATATTATTATGTCTTTATCCCGTGGGACTTTTAGGATAAAATGTATCCTATGACACTCCCGTAATCAAGACAAATCTAACGATACCTCATACATCAAAATCCATCAAGCCGTTTAGGCTACAGGTGGTCACAAAGGAAAAGACATACATACATACTTACATACACTCGAAAAACATTACCCTCCTTCTTTGGCAGTCGGGTAAAAATATCCTTTTTCTTTGCAATAAGATTCCGAATTCCCATCAAAATTACTGATTGCACAGCAAAATATTTAACTCAAAATATTACTAAACACACTACGATTTATTTTCGCAGCGTACAACGATTTTGCCTAAAGCAAAAGCTTTCATTAATGCACAGCTAATAATCTTAATGCACATTATATAGGTAAACTCTTTTTCTTTTAAATATAGCTTCTATTTTTAAATTATTTACAACAGTTTTTCTAAATAAAGCAGCATTTTAAATTCACTTATTTTATTTAAACTAATATTTTTAATATAAACGGCTAAATGGTATGAAAAGATTTGAAAAGCAGTTAGTGATATAACGCTCGGTGGCCGCTACCGCGGCACCGCTCGCTACGCTCGCTCGCCTCGCGCCTTGTGAGGGTCGCAGTTCTAACCTAACCTAACCAAATGTTTCGGGGTGCCCAAAATTGCTGTGCAGTCAGTATTTATGCTATGTATGTAGTATTTTTGTACAAAAACAAATATAACCGTATTGCATTATAAGGAAAAAAGGATTGTCGTATTGATGTAAGTATAATTTCGAATTATCTGCAGTTTGAGTTTTGTAGAACATTTCATTTGTTTGTAATGAAGTAAGTTATTTGATGTAAAAAAGAATATAAATGATGAGTATGTATTGATAGGCGATTATTTATTTGATATGCAATTTATAATATCCCAATATACTACAGTTTGAGGCACCAAAATATCATCGGTACCTATAAAGTAGCATATATTTAAAACTGTCCCGGGCTAAACGTCCAGTTACATTAGCATCCCTTGAGCCGGAAAACCGACTCCAACATAATTCCAAATAGCTAGAACACCAACTAAGCCATAAACTTTAACGCCCAGTATAACTTGATATTAATTTATCTGCTCCACAAACGGTGAAAGGGATCACGTTAAGTGGTTTTCACTTTTAGCGTTTCACATTTTGAGCATTTGCATTGTTAGGTTATTTCGCAGTGACATTTACAAAATGAATTCCATAAAAGTTTTGGTGTCAAAAATAAAGATGCTTGTTAGCTGTATGATAAATCTATTGTGTTATTAGTACTTTCTAATAAAGGCTACATTCAAATAAAGTTACATCATGATGAGATCTATGGATTGTTTGTTTATAATATACTAGCTTTTACCCGCGGCTTCGCTCGCGTCACAAAAGGATAAAAGTAGCCTATGTGACATATACGAATACACGCAGCGTCATCTATACCAATACTTTTTTTCTCTCGGGAATATCAAATCTTTCCGGGATAAAAAGTACCCTATTATTTAATCCGGACTTCTAACTTTGCGTCGGCAAAAATTTTAAGCAATCGGTTTAGCAGTTACGGCGTGAAAGCGGAACAAACAAACAAACTCACTTTCCGAATTATAATATTAGTAAGGATAAATAGTTAAACGCTTTTTACTGTATATTCATATGCCGTGGTCTCGGGTTCGATTCCCGGGTCGGACAAAGTATTACTGGGTTTTTAAAAAAAATCTTAGTAGTAGCACGGAGTCTGGAATTGTGCCCGGTTATATGGCAATAGGCTCACCCCCTATTACATGGGACTCATAACATAAATAGTGAAAAGTAGGTGTTACATTGTACAGTGGTATAATGTGCACCTCTGTCTACCCCTTCGGGAATAAAAGGCGTGATGTTATGTTTATGTGTATAAATAACCGCTTTTTACTGTATATTCATATGCATGTAAGCGGTTACATACGATACCTATACTAAAACGACATTTTTTTTAATTTTTGTCTATTTGTTTGTACTGGCTAATCTATGAAATGGCTGGACCGATTTTGACGGTGACTGGCAGGTGCCTGCAAAAGTTTAGGCTATTTTATTTAGGAAAATTAAATTAATCGTTTGAATGCCCGTATATAAGACACAATAGAAAATACAGACTGCCTCGTTGGCAGAGTGGTCGCAAGTGCGACTGCCGGGCAAGTGGTATCGGGTTCGATTCCCGGGTCGGGCAAAGTATTACTGGGTTTTAAAAAAAAATCTTAGTAGTAGCACGGAGTCTGAAATTGTGCCCGGTTATATGGCAATAGGCTCACCCCCTATTACATGGGACTCATAACATAAATAGTGAAAAGTAGATGTTACATTTTACAGTGGTATAATGTGCACCTCTGTCTACCGCTTCGGGAATAAAAGGCGTGATGTTATGTCATATAGAAAATACATTGTGTCTTGCGTGGATCCACGTTTAGACACACGACGGGTTAAAATTGATTTATTCAGTCAAATTATTTACTACTTGCGCAATATGTAAACAATCCCTAATTAGCATAAAAATAAGGTAGATAATTATTTATAATTTAATACATTCATATAAAATACTGTAATATACTTATTATTACTTATATTACTAATATACTTATAATAGTCGCGGAAAACCTAACGGGTAACCGGGGCTCCGGCTCGACGTGCAGGAGAAGGAACGGGGTGGTTTTTAGTCAGTAAGAGTCTGACACTCCCTCCCGCCTCACCCAGGGGGGAGCAGTAATTCGATGATTTTCCCCCCTTAAAAAAATTAAAATATACTAATACTGTAATATACTATTTACATCCCGCTATCGATTGGACGTCCCATGAAGGCGAAAGTGCATTTAATCTGGCGTCCACCTGCTTGTGGCGTCCGCATACCGGACGCCACTTTTTTGGCCTATGCTACTTAGGTCCTTTTGGTCCTGGCTACACGTAGGTTAAAAATCGACAGAGGCCAAAAGATCGGTTCAATGGCTGTTATAGTATTTTGAAAAGTTCCCAAAGAAATCTCAGCGCAGATAGAGCGCTGCTGTAGCGCGTATATCCACAGCTGTATATTTTTGGGATTTTCTGATTACAAGTCCGCGTATTTGGCGTCCTCAAAAAAATAACAGCGACGTTGCCAGTTCGCTCATTAAATCCGTGGAAAAAGTTCATAATATTATTTACCGCATTCAAACAATATTCATCGTCGTACATTTCGGATGTGTTGCGTATTATTTGGAGTCCGATTTTATTAAATCATGTGATTGCAACTTACGACAACTTATCTGCAACCCTGTTCTCAATTTGTAAATGAGTACCTATCAGTGATAATTATAATAGATGAGGGTATAAATTAATTCCTTAAAGGGATCTTAGAAATAAATACTAAAGTGACAAAATTATATGTCTTACCACAAAAAAAGTTAACCAGAGTTTAACTCGTATTAAATGTGTATTTAGATAGTATAGTCTCCGTATAAATTTTGACGTAATTTTATTAACTTTATCTATTTATGTGGTTAGAAGATGCATCTAACACTGAATAATTAATTAATGTTGTATTACTGATCAAATCAATCAACGTTTTTCTTATTTCTAGCCTTGGCGTGTTATAAAGATCCAATTAGGAATTATAAATGTTTTTGATTACAAAACATAAACACTTCATTAAAAGTGATATCCATATTTAACATAACATAACATCACGCCTTTTTCCCCGAAGGAGTAAGCAGAGATGCACATTACGGCACTTAATGCCACTGTACAATGTAATATCCACAGTTTTACTATTTATGTTATGAGTCCCATGTAATAGGGGGTGAGTTTATTGCCATATACCGGCCACACTTCCAGACTCTTGAAAAAACCCAGTAATACTTTACCCAACCCGGAATGGAACCCGAGACTCTTTGCCAGGCGATCGCACTTGCGACCACTCGGCCAACGAGGCAGTAAAATGATATCCATATTCTTTGTTTTTATTTGCTTAATTAGAATTGGTAACTTCATATCAATAAGCTGCCAATTAAATATTTGATACAACTAATTGTATTCAGCTCTAAAGCTGGTTTCAAAGCTAGGGGATATGGGCAGCGCGGCTGAAGCGCGGGCTTCAACAACAGAGGCATCAGGCAACAATCCAATAGAGGAGTTAATCGAGTGGCCACAACTAGAAGTATTAAATTAGGAATCTTGCCTTAAATGAAATTGAAATTCAATACAATATTTGCGCACAAAGATCAGATTAGGTGCGGTCTTCAGTTACTTAAGGTTTAGATTAAAATAAAAGTGTATCTCATAGATCATAATTTCTAGCGATAAAGTCCTCTACTGGGACCTCTACCTCTATGACAGTCGCGTCGCAATAAAACGATGCTAGAGCTCTCATCATCTCCAAGCGCGAGGCACTTCAGCAGCGCTGCCCAATCCTCTAGCTCTGAAACCAGCCTAAATGAAAGAAGTTTTGAACATATATACTTAATAAAACCATTCTAGTAATAAGATATATTCTTATTATCTTTTCTAATTACGGACGCCCAATAGCTATACGTGGACGTT